TAAACTTCCTGGTGAGGGGAAGGAGAACTAATGTAGACTATACTTGTACCTTTTTCTAGGAACACCCAGAGATGTTAAAATTAAGGAAATATTGGAATGTAAGTGGCATTAGGGTCGCATTTCAATTTCCCTTATACAAAAGAATTCTGTAAACATTATCAAGGCCCCAAGAAAAGGCTAACACAGGTCCTTTGACAAATGTAAATTAGGTTTTGAACCCACTCCCTGATTAAAAAAAAGAGACATATCAATTTAGATACTTGTCTTAGCTCAGCCAGGGAAAAGAAATATCAGTTTTCTTTAATTCCTAGTCTCTCTTGGGCATTTAACCAATTCTTCTTTTCAAGAAAAGTAATAGTCAGCCTAGTTATTTCAACACGAACTTCCAAATCCTGGGGGGAGAAAAAAAGGTGCGAGGACATCTCTTGAACCTGTATAATTGATTTATCCCAATATCAGTGCCACATTTTCAAGGTGGCATTTTACATTCAAATGCTTTTGTTACAGGAACCTTGGACAGCTGGAATCCACAGAAAGCTTGTTAAATTTTCCCTTTCATTCCATATGCAAAAGGGAATCTTTTTGGTCTTTTTTTCAGAGGATCCTAACAGCTGGATGCTACTGTGCTTTATAGATTATCAGAACGCTGAAATTTGAGACTTTGAATTAAATCAATTTCTATTAACTTTCTGGAAGCCAAAGAAGTATCTGCCTCCACTGTGGGCTGATCATTTATTGCCAAGTAGATCTAGGTTTTTCCTACATTAAAATCTTTGTGGTACAAGTCAGGGATACACTTGCCATGCAAACAGAGTACTCTTACGTGACTAAAGTCGTGGTAGATGGAGGAAGAGAAGCTTCAGTTCCTGCTTGATTTCACTGGATAATCACAAACACTTCAGCAAGACAGTTTGGTAAGAGGGAAGGTGAAAGCAGTTAAACAGTCAAAGAACAGAAGCAGGAATCTGTGCTCAGATATTAAACAACTGACCACTGCAAAGAATGGGGAGTAAATGATTACACACAGCTCAGAAGATAAACAGAATGTAGAGTGGCCTTGGACAGTGACAGCTCAGCGTTTGTCTGGAGCTCACAGTGAGGTTGTTACACACTTACTCTGCTTAGACAGGCAGTAGAAATTTGTATTTTCTCCTCAAATCAGAGGAAGTTCACTAGTATGTGCAAAAGTTTTAGGACAAGCAAAAATGATACCAGTTACAAATTAAAAAAAAAAAAAGAGAAATGTTGGAGTTTTGACTTATTTACAAGTTTAAAAGAAAATGTCTTCTCCCCAACTCAGGCTGCCTAAACAATAGTCAACTTCCAAGTTATCAGAGTCTGTCCTTTGAAAAAGGACATATATAAATTCTTCTTTGCTTGCCTATCATGCCCTCAGCTTGACACTGCTCCTGTGCTACAGCTGGGGAAGAAGTGAAGCACCTCGCTTCATGTGAAAAACTTCAGCTTCCTACTTTGTAAGTATCTCCATTAGCTGTAAGCAAGGCAAAGAACTTTGGTTCCTGGCAGCTGAAAAATTCTATTAACCTTGCTTTGTAAGTGCTTTTCCTACAGTAACAAGCTCTTACAGGTGAGAATGTATTTTAAATGTATTTTAAGGAAACAGCATCAGTATAGACTGAAAATTAAATACTTCATTTAAGATGCAAACATTTCATAGTCCAAAGCAATCTTTGACTCTAGAAGTAAATCTTTTAGAGGTCTCATAAGCCTATAATTTTGCAAGAGAGACAAGAAAAAAAAGAACACCAGTATTCCATTATCCAAGGCAAACAGTGCAAAGATTAAGTGACATAAGGCAATTTCAAAAAAAGCCCCAAGTTGTCAGTAAGAAATCAATTCGCAACTGATTTCTCTAGACTGGCATAGTCACATCAGAGCCAAGGTTTCCATTTTACAGACTTCATGTATTACTCAGAAACTCTTGCAAAACCAAACCGATACATGAATTTACGAGAGAATTATCATAACAAATTCTGAATCTCTGTCCAGTTCTTCTGCCAGACTGAATTTCATGTGATCACAAGCACCCTGTCCTACAGACACCATTGCTTACAAACCCCAGCAATTGCATACCCTGGATGTAACACAAGGAGCTTCTAACAACAGCTGCAAGGCACGTGTTTAAGACAGAAGTAGGAAACTACACAACACGGCGATCTTAAGATAGTTCTACCTAGAACTTCCTAGAGCTTTGTGAAGCATCCAGTGTTCCTGTTAGGACAGACAGACTGCAAACAATTTCTTCACAGCATCCCTAGAGGCAGAAGAAAGGGAAAAAAAACCAAACAAACAACAGAGTTACCTCAGTTATGCTGCTTGACGATACTCATTCCATGCTGCTATCACACTGACACAGAGGACTGTAAAGATCAGCTGGCCATGTAACTCATTCCATGCTGCTATCGCACTGACATGGAGGACTGTAAAGATCAGCTGGCCATGTATTAATTGCACTAATATAATTTGCATGACTACACAAATGTGTTAGAGACGAGTGGGTCTGCTCAGTGCCCACCTGCAGTGGAAGTGACACCTGTAGGCCTGTCCTGAGGCAGTGCACTGAAGAAAGGTGGGATTGATGGGGCAGGGCACAGAACTGTGCTCAAAGAGAACAGTGCTCACAGGGGAGGGAGAACAGGAAGAAATGTACACAGAAGAATATACTTGTCTAGGAGTATTTTGGACCCACATTTAGGCATTCCTGCTCATAGGGGAGGGAGAACAGGAAGAAATGTATACAGAAGAATATACTTGTCTAGTAGTATTTTGGACCCACATTTAGGCATTCCAAAAGCAAGCCTTATGCCCAGCATGTGGTCAGCACACTCAGATATTTTATGGGAAGCCCTCCCATTTTTTTCATTTGTGTTCTCCCACTAGAGAAGATGCTTGGTTTCATTTCCAGGTTTAACTACGTGTATTTCCTACACCTAAAACACACCACGGAAAAACTTCTAAAGCCATACGTTACAATGCTTCTATAAACTAATCTTTTGCATGATTAAACCCTGAACTGTTAAAGCCACACATTACAATGCTTCTATAAACTTATCTTTTGCATGATTAAACCCTGAACTGACAAAAAGTAAGGGAGTAGGGAAGCTTACCTTGCATATGGTATGAAGGAAATGCTGTACCTAAGAGGAAAGATTTCAGAAGTTACACTTCATGTCAGATTTCATTAGAGTCACAAAAAAGAACAACCTCTCTGAGGCTCTAAAGTGTGAGATACACAACCAGAATGAAGCTTTGAGTTTGTGAGCAACAGCTGTGAGACACACAACCAAAATGAAGCTTTGAGTTTGTGAGCAACAGGAATGAGTATCCTTGCTGGTCATCTTAGCCCAGCCAGGCTGTGAAACACTATGGCAAAATCAGGGAGCATATTGTGGAAGCATTTTAAATACAGCTCTCCTGCACCCAATATTCTTCATGTTTCAACACCTCAAGGCAAGCAAGATTAGTCTTGAGGGCTGGCAAGGTGTTTATACCAGTTTGTGTACTACTTTGGTGACGTGACACAGTGCATATGTTAACATGGAGCACACTGACAATTTGCTTGGCACCCCTGGATCGTTGAATTTGACAAATTCAGGAGAGTGTAAAAGACAAATACCACACACTAAGTAACAAACTGATTTATAAGGGAAAGCCAAAAGCAGTTTTACTTCGACACTAAGTAACAAACTGACTTACAAGGGAAAGCCAAAAGCAGTTTTACTTCAGGCTCACAGAAATTAAACATGTTCAAAGGAACCTCCTCCAGAAATGGAGCCCTGAGCTCCATGCTCACAGAAATTAATCATGTTCAAAGGAACTTCCTCCAGAAATGGAGCCCTGAGCTCCATCTCCAAAGCCTCTGAAGTGGTGTAAGAGACCAAGAAGTGGGAACGAGTCAGCTCCTCACTGATGCACTGTCCTGCATCTAGGGGAATGGCAAGGGAAAAATTTTCCCTCTCTCTAATGTATGCTAGGTCAAAATTGCAATTCAGCTACTGATGTTAGGTGCAAGAGGAAATGGAGTGTATGGGAAAGAAATTACTTACCATGCCAAGGCAAAAAACTGTAAGATGCAGAAAAGAAGGGCGAGTCCTGCCTTATGCTACCGGGGGAGGAGTGAGGGGAGGGGGCAAGAAACACAGCAGAGACAACAGTGTAAGTATCTTATTTTTAAAATATACTCCAGCTTTGTTTATATACATATATATCTGACTCAAGTACTCACCCAGAAAGCAGAACACAGTGTTAGTATGAGACAGAGCTAGAAGAAAACAAACAATTTCTATTAAATACAGCAACAACTCCAGTTTTTATAGGCACTGTAACACCACAATGGGTTCCTTCACAAAGACAGAAAGGGATGGCATAATTTCATAGTTTTATCCAACCCTGCATAGAAGAGTTGCCCCTACTTAAAATGCTGTCACTATTACATTTCTGGAGTGAATTAAAGCAGTTAGGAAATATTAGCCTAGTATCTCCAAAAATAATTTTATGGCTGCAAAGGAAGAAGACAAATTCTGCTCCTACAGCTCTTTTGCACCATCAGCAGGTTCCCTACTTCATCCCACACACTTCTTGGTGGCATAGGCACAAACCACACTTCATGGTTTTGCCTAAGTAAGACTTCTCAGTTGCAACTCTAGTTTTTCTGCTTCTGCACGTGCCACATTTCCTGATGATTACATGGTTACCATGGGATTGAAGTTATGTCATTACTTAATTCTTACCAAGTAAAACTACACATATATAGGCTCAAGAACTTTCAGCTGTTGCTTAGTAGCTCTCCTGTCCATATATAGCAAGTCCAGCAGAGTCATTCAAACCAGCACTTTTCCTTTTTTCAGAGCTGCACAGTGTATTTCTTTACTACAGGTAAAATCTTGGGGGCTAGTAGGCCATTTTGGATTATTTTTGCTTTAACCCTCAGTTTAACAGAAGTCTCCTATCAGTTCAAGTTTCCATTTTCAAATTGAGACAAGACAAGTCATTTAACTATGACAGGTGTTGATTCTTGACCTTCTTCCTTCATCAACATCTAAGGCCTTTTGATACACATGTACCATTGCACTTTAGAGATTACAAAGTGCATTTTTCTGATTGAGTAAAAAAATAAAAATATTACTGCATATTCAAGACAGTAACATATGCATTGCCAAAGAAATCATATGCTTCACCTCAACAACCATTACTGACATTGAATGCTGGTTTTCCATTAAAGGTGGTGATTTGTACATTGATTTAAACACATCATACATCTAACAACTGGCTTTATTCCAGTGAACAACATTCCGGGCATTCTCCTGACTCCAGACATCCTAAATGCAGACAAAACACACACACACCACACACTAGCCTTCCTGCTTGGATCTGCAAGCGTACACAGCCAATTTCCCAAGCTCTATCAGTTGCCTGCAGCATCTCTGGATGTTTAAAGAGAAATTAGGAAGTGCTGGTGCCAAGCAAATGCTCTGAAGACATTCACACTAAAAACAGGAGGACAGTTTCATGCAAGTTAAGCCAGGTTCAAGATTTTAGACTCACCGAGAGAAGAGGCAAAGTTGCAGTGACAAAAAAGCACATGCGCTTTAACGAAGAGTCAGGCTGAAACTTAGCAGCAACTTATATACACATACAGAGCAGAAGGTTGGCTACAACTTTCATCTTCTGAAAATAAAGGTAATTCCAAGGCTGACTTCAGGTGAATGTTGCATTTGCAAATTCATTCTGTCATTCTTCTAGGCAATATGACAACATGATGTTGTGACCTCAAGCCCCCTAAAAAAGCACATGCATGGTTCACACACACCAGCCACTGACCCTTGATGCTTGTTTAGCATAACAACCTGACTTCAGCTCAGTCCTTCATAACAGGGAGGTGGTTTTATGGTGCTACACTTACCTTTCCACTATAGCAGATGTGCAGTGATGTTCTAAGAGAAAAAAACACCCACAAATACCAAGTTTGAGCTAACTATGTCTCAGATCACCGAGATCAATGTATATGAAAGGATATTCCTGTGGAAATTGTTCACAGGTTTGCATGAGTTAAAACTTATTCCTTTGATACTTACCAGCATCACAATAGTAGCAATCAAACGTGTAGGCTCAAACATCTTTTTCAGTTGGTTCATTGGTCCCATAAGAAACATAGTGCTGTAGAAAACAAGCCAAGATGAACAGAGGTAAGAAAGGCAAAAGTGAAACTAGGTAAGATTGTCTGCTATCATACAGGGCATCAGTACACTATGTTGTTGTGGTAATCAGTGCTGCACCACAAAAGAAATGGGATATACAAACGTGTAGGCTCAAACATCTTTTTCAGTTGGTTCATTGGTCCCATAAGAAACATAGTGCTGTAGAAAACAAGCCAAGATGAACAGAGGTAAGAAAGGCAAAAGTGAAACTAGGTAAGATTGTCTGCTATCATACAGGGCATCAGTACACTATGTTGTTGTGGTAATCAGTGCTGCACCACAAAAGAAATGGGATATACAATGAGATGAGAATTACTGTACTCACAGTTGTTGAGTTACAAGTAACATAAGCAGAGCAGAGCTATCAAGTTAGAAGCATAGGTCAAGGTCAGTTCCAATTAGCTCATTCTTAACAGATGCTTTTTTAACCTGCTTTTTAAAAATGCTTTTAAAAATCTGTTTTTCAAGAACACCATCCAGAGAGGCTCTGCATGGATGGCCAAGTAATGCAGCTCAACTCCTCTACATAAAGGCCTGTTTTCAGACCTGGATCTATTCTCTGAATCCTCACCAGATCTTCAGCCCTCACTTAGAACCCTGGTGATTGATACTGCATGAATTATGCAAGGTCAAAATTTTAGCTAAAGTGGTATTTCTGCTTCATATACTATGTAATTCTATCCATAGTATATTACTTCCACTTGCATTATTTACGCTTTCTAACATTATGCTAAGATTCCTCAGCCACAGAAGACTGTGCCTATCACAAAGTCTGTGGGACTATGCTTCAGGAATCTTCATGGCCATGAAGTCCCTCACAGACAGACTGCCCCACTCATATTCACCAAAACACACAGAACTTTACCAAAGGCAAATTGGCAAAGAATTACTTTTACCTCAGGGAGGAGGAACCAACAAAATCAAAAAAACTCAATGCTCAAAGCCTAAGTTTGATTCTTTACTGATGAATAACTTTCACCTTGAATGCATTGCTAACAACAATAAACAAACTTAGAGTTTTCTTTACCATTTCAGGGTACTACTGGGGAAATGCTGTCCTTTGAAATTCAACAATAGGAGAATTATCGACAAACACAAATCTTCTCACGTAAATGCAACAGTTTCTATCCCTTATGCACCTTCACCTATCGTTCTATTCCACAGATCTCTACATAACATTCTATATTAGGGAACATATAAAGATTGTTACCTCCCAATAGATGTAATATTCCCCAGAGTATAAAACACTGCAAAGAGTATCAGCCCTTTCTTTGGTATCCAGAGTAGACAACTACCCTAAAAAGAACATTTAGAGAGAAAAAGAGGGGTAAAAATGAATAACTTTTACATTGAAAATAAGAAATATATCCAAGAAATGTCACATCACAAAAGAAATCTTAGGAAACTTAAACCCCAACTTCAGAATCACACATGCAGTAAAGTGCATTTACTGGCATTCTTGTTTAGTGTGCTGCATCGAACTGGAACAGTCTTTCCAGGGACTCGGGAAAAAAACAAGCAACAGCACAGAGTGAGGCTGTAATTATCTGGGCTCCTGAAACTCAAATATTGGAGAGATATGACAAAAAGTCCTTACCAAGAGCGAGCACAGGCATCCTATCACAAAACACGCAACGAAGCCTTTCATTCGGGTGCTCCAACTTAAGGAAGTTGAATCAATGACCTGGAAAGGAGGGGCAGAGTGAAACTCGTTATTTACTAGTCGCTCTTGCCTCCTAGCAAGTTCGCAAACTTCCTCCTAGGGGCTGAACCGAGTCGCAGCTCAGACGGAGCCCGCGGGGCC